TAGCATCATTTTAATTTTAAGATAACGTACATACTCCTCGAACGTAGTTAACTGGTTAAAGCTTGAAATGATACTATGTCTTTCAACGATGAATTATTTACTTTTTCAGATAAACATGTAATTCTTTATTTTGCTTTGGTTTTTCATTAAAATATACCCTAGGTGCATTCGTTCTGCGTTTGACAAGTATTTACACGGTTCATTTTTTATTTTATTGCGTGCACAACGAGAGATTTTTTAAACTAAACTTTACAGTTGACAGGTTAACACTTTGTCTGCCAAGTAAACACTCGTCAAGTCAAGGGTTGCGAATGCTGAATGCAGCCTGAAGGTTATCTGTGATCGATAGACAGTAGGATAGTTACATTTCTTTGTTAATTCTTCAGCATGTTTATTTTACTAAAAAGTGATTATTGTTATACAATATGCAGAATATAATTGTTGATTAATATTTATTATTAAATGTTTAGTATATTAGATTAGCATATGTCGATTATTTTTCTTCTTAAATTTACAGCTGCATGCAACTATTTTACACTATTCTTATTTACAGAGTATCTACATTAATTGACATTTTCTATCGAAACTTCTGTCGTGAAACTGAGAATTTGTAGTCATTGGAAAACTCATTATCGGGTAGAAGGCATTTAGTTAAAGCGTGTGAAGTTTGAGGACGTTAAGAAGACAGAAACTATTCCTGACAGTTGTCCTTTATACCTTTATTTCTTTAAAGAGCTAATTACTCATTTGTTAGTCGGATTCTTTATGCACTGGCTGTTTAAAACAAGCAGAAAAAAAAGGCAATAACATCGGTTCGCTGACCGATTCCGAAATGTCAGGAGGCGTTACGAAGCGCGTCGATGCACGAGGGGAAAAAGAAAGGATTTCGCAGGAATCGAGGAAGAGAAAGGATACAAGGGGGCAGAGGCGGCAGCACTCGTCGCGTTGCGAAACGCCGTCGGTCTTGGTCGGCTGGCTTTCGATGAAATTCAATCGGTGAAAAACGACCGAGCCGCTCTCGTTTGTTCGGACAGACGGTAATTCTCGAAAGCATGGAAACCGGGTTTATTGCTGCGCCGTCCGTGAACCCTGGGAACAAAAATGACATACCTGAAACAGGAACCACGGCGGAGAAGACCGAGTTATCGTTAAACGAATATCTTACTCTTCAATCGCATCTTGAACACAGAAAACAATAAAGAAACATAAACATAATATTACTAAATAATATCCTTAATAAAATCTAAAAAATCATAAAATCTTAAAACGTGTACATGATTATACACTTTTCGAAAATAATTTTAATCCCCGTTGATTATTTGATAAAAATGGAATTAATATCTATTTAGAAATCAAAATGTTGAAATTCTTTTAGTCTTCATTTAAAAACGTTTTAAAGAAAATACATCTATCTTCCCCGAAATTAGAAAGAGTTAAATCACCGAAACACGCTCTGATGTCGACGTTTCCGTAGATTCTTCCGCGAAGACGCACCCCCTGCGGTGATTCGCTAAGGCCACAAGGAGGGGAAATTTCGGTCGAGGAAACGGCGAACAGTTTCCGGCGAACGAGTTTCGTCCCGGGCCATTTGCCGTTTCGACGTCCGGTTAACACGACGGATACGATAGCGTTCCACTGCAGCCGTGGCGGGCGAGGTTTTACCGCAGTGACCTTCGCTGCACATGCGTCCACGCCTTTACGACTCGCTTTCACGAGCGTTAATCGCGTGGTCCGCAGGACAAAAAGAGCTTTTATTTATCAGATCGATTTATATTGCCGTGTCGCAACTCGCTGAGTATTATCGTCGAACGTATCGGCCCATTATCGAAAGGGGTGGCGAATTGTCGACGATATCGTCTCGACGTATTCGATTTGATTATTGCGTACAGCCCTTAACCCGACGATTAATCTCGAACGCGGTTCGCTCGTTTCCCAAAATGTTGTTCGTCTTTTCCGTTCGTTCATCCGAAGATTGTTGCGATACCTCGAAGGTTAAGAAGCGACACGAGGTTGAGAGGTTCGCTTCGAGACCACCCTGTGCATGGAATTGTCAATTAACGGGACCGCGTAATGGCCTCGTGATACGCGGCAAATCTCCGAGCGAACCGTAGCTACTACGGAATGCATAGAATTTTTCATGAACACGTGAAATCATTTTAATGCACGGCTAGGTAGATGTGCGTTTTAATCGGGACACGGGGAACGGTTACGACTCGTTATCTTGTTAACCGAGGAAATTAACTCGTTTATATTCTGCGATGGTGTTTAATGCTCTTATCGTTACAATGTTCTTGTTAATGTAAATTCTGTTGCTATTCGAATGTGTTGCGAGGTAGTCGGGGTAATCGCAAATGTAAAAGTTATTAATAGTAAAACTACCGAACAATTAGAGTGGTTTATTTTCAATTTGTTTGTAAAAATTAGAATAATAGGTTTCTTGAGATTCGAAGGGTGTCTTGGTCTTGTAGCTGTGCAAGTACACGAACTTAATTGAAATACTTTCGCAAAAACGCCTTTATAATTTAAATACATAATAAAAATTCTGAAGTGGGTCAGTTTAACACGTCCGGTGGTTTTAGTGTTAATGAATCCCTTGAATCGATTGTGAAAGCGAAGGATGTGGTTAGGGGTGAGTTGAGAGAATGAAGAATTTATGAATAATTAAGGTGTATTTTTGTGTTTAGAGTTTTCTAAAAATTTATGCTGTTAAGCGGCTCTTCTCAGTCGGATTTACCATGAGGGGACATATTTCCTTGTCACCCCGTAATCCAAAGTTTTGCCCGTTAATACCGATTATACACGGGCTCCTGGATAGATTTATGGCCGCGGTGCTCGTGTAGCAAAGCAAACACACCGTGCTCGTATGAATGCACAAGTATCATTGACTACCGACGCTACTCGTTGCCTCTAAACGAGCTGGATACAGTCATTTACGAAGAGACACGCGCGACTAAATACCATTTCTATCTCCTTTGCTTTCTACAATCATTTAACATTGATTGAACAACTTTCACAGTCGATACAAAATCGTACGCAAACCGATCGCAAACCAGCTGCTAATTGCAAGACTACAGCCAATTAAAATGTTTCGTCCGAAAGCTGTTATTGTCAGCTGGTTACGATCATTCGAAATTTTTAGCATTACTTGTCAGTGGACAAAATGGCTCCCGTTAGGATCTAACACCACCGTGTGCTACATTATTAATTATGTCATACTTGAAGATAATTTTGAAGTTTCCATTTATAAATTTGAAAACAAACATTTCTAATAACACCGTTCAACAAATTGTATTTTTCAAAAACACAGCAATAAATTAGGATCAATAATAATCCTACTTATTCTTGCTTAAAATTTGTTGTGGTAGAAAGCGAAACTAACTTCCTTCAAAGTTAGTTTTCCTTTAAAGAAATACATTCTATTCGTGTCTTAGAACTTATAAATTTAAAGCGAAGCATTACAGAATCTTTCTACCAATTACGAGAAAACAAAAATATTGTAGGCAGTGTTCCCAAAACAAAATGATAATGAACTAGCGATAAAGGTGTACACGGTGGTCGCACGCTAATTCCGCAAATTCGTCGGCCGCTTCATTTACGCCTGTGCGTGCTCCAATTTCGCAACGTTTATCGGGACCAATTTCGTGGCCGGCGAATAAATGCATCCGCACGCGTGCTCGATGCAAGCCTGAGCGGACACGGGATTATCTAGCGCGCCGATAACCGCACGCCTTTGTTATCCCACAAAATTATGACTGAACGAGAAGCCGAGAAACAGCGTCCGCCGGTATTAAATTATATCGGGGCCCCGGTGTAATTTGACACGGTGCCTCCTGAACATTGTTGTTTCAGTGCAATTTCACGCGAGACACGCGATTGCGTCGCATTAGAATATTTTAATCCCCGCGCGGTGCACGGACAAATTGAATACACCTCGCGACGCGGACGGTAGCCATTTTAACCTGAGCCGGTTTACATTCGTCGGCCGGCCATTTTGAATTTATACAAGCACTTTTGCGAGAAATTTATACTTGATTAGTTAATCGAGTAGCACGTGTACACAGCAATTCTGAATTAACATTTCATTACTTGCACACTGAATTCAAGCAAACGTTTCTATGCATAATAGTAATTTAATCTCGTATTCATTATATTTAATACATTAGTATGTTAAATATTAGTTTTAAAACAATATTAGACGATACGCGAAAATATTAACTCTGCTGCGTTCTTCGGGTGCATTTGATTCATTAGTATTCCCGTTTTGTTAAGAATGTTTTCCAATTTAAGAACAGTGCAAGAAAATTGTAACTAGATCATGCATCTCTACTTTTTTAACTTCTTGCAATCCTATGTCAAACTTGACTCGACATTCAATTTATTGGTACAGACAAGTACTCGATGAATTTTCGTAATACCATAATTACGTCATACATCAATACAATTGCAATACCTCTCGAATGTCCTCAAATAAACGATTAAAATCTTATACTAAGCTACATACACTTGATTCAACATCGATGCAAGTTTCAAAGTGAAAAACTAAGAACCTCGAGCCACGAGGGCCTAATAATACAAATGTACAGAAAAACTGAGTACCATATAAGGGTTAATATCGACTGCTGCAGCGAATGTTCTCACGCCAATTCGGAAATAATGAGTGCGCCGAATCTGATCGGCGACGAGACATCGGACGAATGATAGTATCTCGAAGTAAATCGCTGGAATAGCAGTAGACCCTGTTTATGATTCCTAATGAAAGGCTCGGGCAGACGGATAAGTGGATAGATGGACCAGAGGCCTGGGTACATATGCGCGTATCCGGCTCCATGTACCCGGGTCAACTGGATAGGTAACCGCTGCGATAGGTATATGAGAATAGATATATCACGGTCCCGTGTCACGTGCGCGACAGGTACACCATAAGCAGTTTCGTAATTTAATGCGACCTTATTAGCGGGATGAAAGCGCGGTGAGCTAACGGACGGCCGTTCTGGTTCCAGCAACTCTCATTTCCATCCACGCAATCCAGCCATGGATCGGCGGGCTTCACGTTCAGCCTTTCCGGCAGCCAGGACACCGAGGGTCCTCAGGGCGGCTTCGAGTGCATCCAGCAGACCGGCCCCAAGTGAGTCACATGTTTCCAGTTCGCCTTTCAGCGATGCCTCCTTATCTTCGTTTTCTCTTTCAACGCCTCCTCTCGCGTGTGCTGCGTGTTATCCTGCCAGGTGGTCGAGTCCTCCTTTTTTCCGTTAAAATACTCCGCGAGATCTCGATGTGAAACACGAGTCCGGCATTTGAGCGGATTTTCATCTTTTCTTTTAACACATTGTTGACCGGCAGTTCCACGCTGAAGCTATTCCATGTCACCGGTTATTATTCCGTAATTAACACTAGGTTTATAGAACGCGTCAATTTAACGCATATCGAACTTTATCCATGTTATTCTGTAACTGATTAAATCGATTTTAATTGATGCAATTACACGAGTATATATCTTAATTGTCCACCCTTCAAATTTACAGTTTTCAAGATCCAAATGAACGAACGTCAATCTTTGTAGGATCAGTAGAATAAGCTACACGATAAACGTCCGTAAACCTAGTGTTAACTTTGAAAATGGAACAATCTAAATAAGCTTCAATATACTATATTTCTACATAATGAATTGAAATGAAACTTTGGACGTATGTTTTGTATAACTTTGAATATTTTGCTTTTGCAATATTCTATATTGTCCTGTGTTTAAAAAATTGAAATAGCTGATGCAAGTGCAAGATCAAGAATGTGTTAACACTTTGACTGCCACGTCACCCTAGCTCGATGACACTGTTTTTCACATGAAACATTAATTTTCTTGATAACGTATCGAATGAACCGAGTTTCGTTGTATATGACGTATAAGAAATATAGTAGAGTAATCGTTATGAAGAATCTTGACTCCTTAGTTTCTGCTTTATTAAGAGACTTTTTGACTGCAGTTTTGATGAGCGTTTACTTGGCAGTCAAATGTCGTTTTTCGTTGAAATAACTTGTACAGAAAGTTGTTTAGTATTGTAGTCATGCAGCACGCGCAATATATTCATAATTTTCGACAGTTGCTTCCCCTTTTCTTTTAGTTTATTTTTTCGAAATAGAATTACGTTTTAAATGGTAATCGGCAGGTTATAATAGATTGAGTTTGTTGAGACATGATTTTGATTTCGCGGATTATCGTTTCATTTAATTAATTAATTACATCATTATGTAACGTTCGTTTTATAACCGTATTCCGCTGCCTTGTGAGTTCCATATATTCCAATTATTTACACAAAATAATCTTATCTCGGCTCGATCGAGAACCGAAATAACATTCCTTTCAACGTACTATTTCCACGGTTGATAATATCTTTACTACTTTTATAATTAGACTATATCTATTTGCGCACTTGCACGCAAATGTACCGAGCATCGTGAAACAGAAATGAATTTCATGAAATCCATAAACGTTTCTGTTTCACTTTTACCACGATAAAATCCTTAACAATGAACACAAGTTTCTATCTAATTTCATATGTAATGAAACAATGCACGAGAATGCGGAAAGGAATGTAATATGTACAGGAATAGAATTCCGCAGTCTTCTGACCCCTTGTCGTACGATTTTATTCGCGACTATACTCGTTAGATTTATTTTATTATTAACAATTCGAGAGGACGCGAACAAGCTTTCCATTTACTGTAAGCATACATTTCGAAGATAAAACATTGTGGATATAAAAACAGTTTTTTACTTCAACTTATATGCAAAGAACAACATTGATTTTTATTTATTACACTCGTTACAGTTTAAGATATATTTTCTGTTTTATCACATTAAAAGTCCTATTAATGTTTTCTCTGCATTTAGCCAATATTCTATCTAATAGATGAAGTGAATATTAAATAAAAAAAATTCAAATAAACATTTTCACAAATCTTACTCGTCATGCACCAAGGGGTTAATATGTTGAACGATTTCACGCAGCAAAATACAATGAAAAAAAGTATAATATCAAATCATTCAATTAAATCGCGTTATCATTATTGCACGTTTATCATATTTAACATCGCTGATATAAGTTGCATTATTTATAGTACAGAACAATTTCCAAATAATCATCGTTTAACACTAGAACCACCGAGCAATTAGAATAACTCATTCACAAGTTCCTATACAAATCAGAATAATTCTTATCTTGAGATTTAACACTAAAACTATCGATCAATTAAATTGTCTTTTTGAAATTCCTGTATAGAAACTCCAAAAATGCATCTATCAAGACTTTGATTGATTTTCCATTCAGTTTGCGTATTACTAAATCAAATTCTTTAATAATTTCTCAGAGAAACATCTATCATCTTTTTAATAATAGCAAAAATAAGAAATCAGGAATGCGTCATTTTGACGCGTCTAATAGTTTTAGTATTAAAAGACCTCTTACAGTTCTGTTCATACAAACATACGAATAACATTTTACAATTTCTCGCAAGAGCATTCTCACAGTTTCAATAATAAAATAAAAATTACGGAACGAGTCATGTTGACCCGTCTGATAGTAGTTCTAGTATCAGTCGAGTGAATCATAGTAATTTGATTTGAGGTCACCGGTGACCCCAATGCCATTGAACGTGTTAACGGCGAATCGAACCGCTCCGAATTATTGAACTTCCGGTATAGCCGCGCCGCCGCGGAGACAACCAGCAAGCGACGGCGATCGGTTCCAGCCGGCTTATCGGTTTCTTTATCGCCGTAATTTTTCCCTGTCCAGGAGTCTGGAGAGCCTTGGCGCATTGCCGTGTAAAATGTGGATACAGGCGAACGACGACGTGTACGAGACAACCAGGCATCGAATGGCCGTCGCCGAAGAGAATAACAAGAACAAATGGTAAGTCAGCCCTTTCGCGGAGGCGGTCGTCGAACGTTTCCTCTCTCAGTCCCATCGATCCCCGGGAGGGCCCGATTTTTCTTTCATCCCCTTTCGCGACCGTTTGTTCTATTTCCAGTACCTTTCGTATCACATTCGTCGGTACTGTAAGTTGTTCAGGAGATGAGCCACGAGACGGCGATGATGTGAACTGCCGTAATACTTTGACTGTCACGTCACCCGAATACGGTGACACCATTTTTAACGTAATCTTGAACATTCATTTTCCTAGTGACTTATCGAACGAACTAAGTTTCATTGAATGTGTGAGATATAAGGAAAGAAGTAATCGTTACGAAGGATCTTGCCTCTTTGTCTTCGCTTTATTAAGAAAACTGTTTCGATTGCATGGGAGTTTTGATGGTTATTTACTTGGCAGTCAAAGTGTTAAGGGCAATAATTGAGTCGTTCAGAAGCCAATGTGGTTCAGTCCGGAAAAGAAAAATTAAGAAAATTAATGTTTTGACTTCTGAGATTATTATAGAACATATTCAGAAGCTGTACAAGGAATGGCTTTCTGACCTAGAGAAAACGCGGAAACATATCAATCCTTTAATAACTAAAAAGAATATTATTTACTCGATTAAAATTTATGAAAATCAGAAAATATCAAAGAATGGACTTAACTGCATTTTCTTCTGGGCGATTCAATTATCGATTAGAGGTTATAGATCATCTAGGGATGTTTGCTTCTTATGTTTTCCTCTTTGTATAAACCTGGCTATGTTTTTTTTATCATTTTGATTGATTACGTGTAACGACGAACAACAAAGTATCGAAAATCAGACGAAAAAAGATGAAAGTTGTCCAATTAGATTAGCTTTTCTCGTGACCAACACACGGACTACTTACTGTATGTCCTTCAAGAGATGAGCCTTGAAAGGAACGCGAGTCTAATTATTTTTTTAGCTTTTATTTTTTCTCATCTGATTTTTCATACTAATTTGCTACTCGTAATCAATTAAAACTATAAACAAAACACATAGCGAAAAACCCCTCTTACATATGTGCTGTCCCGGAGCTCTTGTGAAGAACACGGAGTATGCTCGTCAGCTTCGTAAACAAATGGAAGCCTGCTCGTGCTATTTATTCGTCCATCGTTTACTGGCCCATATCACGGCCGACCTGATCCTTCGATAATTAAAGGTCAAAGTTTGCGGTCCCACTCACGACTCCCCTTCAGCCGCGTTCGTTTCTCTCGCATTGGTGGTTTATAAAATATTGGTTCGTAATATAAGCGTGTACGTTGAGGTATGTTCGACACGCTTTTGAATTATTAGTTTCGTGAACCACCGAAATAACAATGGTGAATCTAAAATGGGCAGATGCGGCTTCTCGTTTGTCATAGTTATGCACATTTGCAGTGAGTCGTCATCTTTTTGCATTTGATACTTAGTGTCAGAAAGGACTTTCATTTTGGTCTGTTTTCATTTATGTAAAGTTATATTTATATTCTTTTATATTCATTTATGGAGATATTCTAAATTGGTATCAGATTCAGTAATGTTCTTTGACTTAAATAGTAAGTGTATATATTATTCACGGTTCCATTCAATGAAATTCGTTGAGTAACATTTGCCTGCGATTAAAGTTAGGATAAAGTGACAGTAGAACCGATATTGCAATTTCCTTGTTCACTGTTTTACTATTATTGACATTTTTACTTATTACATAATCATTCACTGTTTTTGAAGAAAATAGATCAGCTGTGAGCTTATCGCCTCGAACGTCCTCGAGTGTTACGTTGCACTATCGTTACATGGCAAAAATATACCGTTCCTACTTTCCTCGGCGTACAGCTTATTTATATTTAACCCTTCAGCGTCGGTCTCCACGTGCAGCATCAACATCCGCCCCCTCGTTGATGTAACAATTAGTCCGGAGAACTGTTTTGAACCGTGTTGAATTATTAAGATGCACGATGTCGAGTTTCTTATTGTTAATTTACTAGGTGAAATGATTATGATTCATTGCGTGATTAGTTATTTATTAACATTATAACACTGTTTTTCATTGTAACTTAATACACTGACTGCCAAATATCATAAAGATCCCACAAAATGAAAGCTATTTGTATTCAGCAAAGAATTCAGCAAGCATTAAAGAATCTTGTCATAATGATTTCTCTTTCGTCCTAGTCTAGTGCTCTTATCTAATTTTGCGTAAATCAGCAAACTTCAGTCCACTCGATATTTTACCATAAAAATACATTCTCTTTCGAGCAAAGAATCACGTCATCCACAGACGACTAACATCGCCTAATATCGAAACACTAGAAAAATGCCAAAGAAACGAAGCAAGACAACAAAACGGGGGTGACAACAAATTCAAAGCAGTCACAATTTGCGTCCCGCTTGGATATTACTTGATACGCTTTCCGATAGAACCTAGTTTACGACCTGGCTGAAAAAAATCATATCGTCGGGTGATAGCGAGAGTCTCTCCGCGCGCAGGAGATTTATGAGACGTCTGAATACCAATGGGAAATCCGTGTTGCTTAACGATATGACCGAATACGACGCGCGCACAGGATCGGCTAATTTATTTAACGGCGTCACGGTCAAGGCTAAAAGTGCCACACAAGTGCGACTTCGTCACGGGCCGCCTTTCGGTCTCGTATTTGCGCCCCGGGACAAAAGTCTTCACGCAAGCGAGCGAGTGAGCAAATTGTGCAACGAGGGCGAGAAGATTTTGCATCAAAAAGAGAGTAACAACGAGAGGTGGGCAGGTGGGGGAGGAGGCAATAGCCTCGATAATGCAGTAAATTCTATTGTTGCCGTCGTCGTCGCGGCAGAGCATTGCACCGAGCCCCGCGTCGCGTGGTCTAAGCCGTCGTGGACGTCGTATAACGATATTATCCTGCTAGGCACCGGTTACATAATGGCGCGTCTAACAACAAAAGCGATAATTGGCTTCGTCGTGGTTGCTATCTACTTACGTCAAAGGGGGATCGATTAATCACTTCTGCCCCGCGAAAGATGTTTCGACGGATCGCGACGGTCGCGTTGGAACAACGACGATCTTGTTTGATCCCTTCGAGATGATTGTCGCATACATCTCGACTTACGCGGACTTTTTTCGCATGAGTCTCCTTTTTACACGGTAAATTGAAACACTATTTACGCGGTAGTTTTTCTGTGCGATCTGTATTTAACCTTTTAGTTACCATACGCCACTATAGTGGCTTCCATGTGTGTCGTCTTTTTGAACGGTACGCCACTGTAGCGGCTCAATCCTTCCTCTGTCATCGATAGCTGCGCACATTGTAGTCTAAGCTAACGTAACCGTACAGTGGAAAATTCTATTCAATATTTTGTTTTCTCTTGTACCGGCAGTCCCGTCTACGCGATTTTTATTTACATAAAACACATGGGGTTGAAATTTCAAATAGCATCTTTCGTGGCTTCCAATCGAAGACCAAATCGTGATTGCACTGTTTGTAAACAACTTTTTCCTGAAATAATTAATGTTCTGATAGAGTTACTTAAAAATAAGAGAAATACATTTTGTTACTTTGTTTATATGAAATGTTTTTCGTTGATTAAACGTTGAATCTACGCGATACAGAAGACAATTTGTATGATAAATATATCACTTTCCAGTTAATGTCTCGTAACATGAATTACTTCAAACGCGTCAAAAATATAAGTATCTTAAGGTAGTGTTATAATACAAGTTCCTGGTAACAATGCGGGTGAACTAAAAATAGAGTGTAACAAAAGTGTATGTCGCCTCATAAATAATATGCTCACAAAGGCATCGAATGTAGATAGAAATTCTAGAAAGCTTTATTTGGTCAACAGATAGCTGTGGGTTACCTGGTTCGTAATATCTATATTAAGATCATTTTCGAAGTAACATATTTTTAAAAACTCAACACGTTAATATTTTACTATTTGCATACCTGCAGTAGGTCATCGCGCGTCGTCTCAGGATGTGTTAGCAGTTTAGAACGACGGTCGCTTAAGATTCGATGTTCTATTTTTTCAATAAAACAAAGTATGTTCCCACCGTTTTACTTTCCCACTCCACCACCCATATCTTTCTAACACTATTTCTATCGAAGTTGTCAAAAGGCACCGTCTAAAATTGTATCTTAAAATTATTTTCCAAGATTAGTTGTATATTCTGAATTGACTTTTCGACTTTTCCAATAACGATTATAAAATTAACTACAGAAATAATGTTAACTCTAGGTTGACGGACATTTATTGTACATTTTATTCTACCGCTGCTAGAAAAATTGATGTCTGTTCATTAGGATCTTGCAAATTAGGAAGTTAAAAATAGGCAACTGAGATACATATTCGTGCAACTGCATAAATCAAAAATTAATATAAATATTCACCAGATAGTATTTATAAAATTCAATGTGCGTTAAATTGACGTGTTCTCTACATCCAGTGTTAACCCCTTGACCATTTATTTCTTAACTGTAATCGACACAACTACTCTGCAATTAATAATTTATTGGAAAAAGAGGAAAATTCTAGGCGTACTCTATGTCCATATTTTCTCTAACGTATAATAATTGATAACACGAGAATAATATTTCATTTGAATTCGCATGAATTGAATAATATTTATGTTTGTTAGATTCTGTTGAAAATCTTTACCGCGAGTCTGACACGTTATCATGAGATAAAGGATTAAAAAATTCATCAATCCGCGTGCATACCCTCGATAGTAGGCCCAACCTTGAAGGCAGCACTGCGCCAGGAAGTGAGTCTGCAAACTTCCAGGAAACAAACAACATTTTTCTCATTTCTCCAGAAGATAGACAGTCTGTGTTGTATTACAACGTACTTACCATGGCGTCACTTTTTTGTTCCAGTACCAGAGTCATCAAGGCCAACGGTCCTGACATCGGGCGCACGGTAAAGCTGAAAGCGACTGGAAGAACCATACCGTCTCCATCTAATTCGAGACATCGGGAATCGACGAGCATTCCATCATTCCGCAGTCAGTCCAGATTGTCGTCTTCCTCCTACAAGCCAGCTGCCAGTAGTATTTCACAGCCAGCCCGGAATCCATCGGAGAAGAAGGTTTCCGATGTGATGCGTAGGCCATTAAAGTACGTTTGACAATCGATAACGATGCTAGATGACGTATCTACTCTGACGTAGTGTCAAGTATACAACGAAGAATACGCAAACTGCGTAACGGTATCCGATTAACGACCCGTCGAGAATCATAATTTTGAGCAGTCCCACGGTATAACAGTGAGAAATTATCGTTCCAAAAGTGATTATTACGGACTTACCATATATCACATCGAGTTTCTACTTTGAAAGTTTCGAATTTATCTGGAAGACGCGAATTAAAACGTTTAGAATAACTTAGCTAGAAACAAACTCGAAAGTTGATACTGTTTTTATTGTTAGTTTAAATCGTGACATATGTTTTTTGAAATTTCGTTATCGATTTCAGTAATACGGTTTTAATTTCTAATGAAGATAGTGACTTAATAAAGACAGTAACTTAATTGTAGCTTTAATGTTCGTTTGATGTTCGAAACGTAAAGTAAAACCTAAGCCAGACCTGTACTCTGATATTTGAATGGAATGTATATCTAGTAATGTATTAATAGCAACTGATGATTACTTTTCTTGTCTTTGATAGAGAGAGGCTTATCCATCTCCTTGCTTTGAGGCCGTACAAAAAACCTGAGCTGTATGATCGCATAAACAGAGGTAAGAAATGGACTTAACAGTTTGTGAATATTATCGGAAGAGTTTGTATCATTTATCTAATCCTTGGTTCTCTTTTCAGAGGGTATAAAGGATCGAGAACGCAGCGTCATGACGGTGATTCTGAAGCAGGTGGCTTTCATGAGAGATAACACGTACCATTTGCACAGGTACGTGTGGAACGATGTACAGGAAGACTGGCCTTACTACACCGACCAGGAGAAAGCGATGCTGAAGAGGAGGAAACCTCAGAATCTTACTCCTCCTGGTTCCAGTGATGGTGGATCCAGCGGTAAGTCTGATATCCACAGAAATATAATTGTAGTTGCTCCATTGTCCTCTTCGCTAATCCTTGAAAAAGATACGTTAAAATCAAACTAATACTGTCAAGAAGATAAAAATATTGATTTCAAAGTAGTAGCAATAACAAGATGTTCTCCAACTGAACCCTTTAAGGACAAATATTGTCCTATTGGCGACACAGAAGTGATATTTAAAAGAAAACATTCGAAGCAAATAATTTTGTTACTTAAATTCCGAAAGATCAGTGTATAGTTCTTTGATTTCAAGTATTAAAGATTTAACATGTAAATTAGCTTCTTACGAAAAAGGTTTTTAATATTTTAAAAATGCCCCATCCGCAAAGAGTTAATCCACTTATGAACAGTCACAAGAATCATAAAAATGTGTACATCATTCTTCCATTACTTCTTAAAACATTTACAAATCAGTCGGACCAAACAGTTCAAAATTCAATGTCAACGATTCAAAATTTCTTCGAATCAACCCATCAGTCAGATTATTAACACCATCTTCAATGATTCCAGGTAGCGGACAATCTCCCAATTCCACCCATCCAGGGTCTCCTCCAGCGATCACCGGTCCGCCACCCTCGCTGGGCGTGAAGCGGCCGGGCTACGATGAGGGTAACGACGGTCTGCCAACGAAGAAACAGCGTGTATCACGCTGCAAGAAGCCAGAGCCAAGCTCGTCGAGCACCGGGGAGAACGGAAGGACGGCTGGTAGTGGTGGTAGCAATAGTAACAGTGTTAGTGGAGTTTCCGGTGGTGGAGCCGGTGGTAGTAGTGCTAGTGGCAGTGGTGTGGTTGACGGTTGGGACCAGAGGCAGCAACAGCGTGATCGTCGCGGCGATTACCGGCTGGAAAGAACAGCGAACAGTGATGTGCTACGTGGTGGCAGCTACGGAAGCAGCAAACCGTGCATGACGCCGACCAGTGACAGTGAAGAAAACAACCGGATCAGTCACCGGGACGCTGCCGTCGCTGGCGTCGGGACCACGTCCGCAAGCAGCGCGTCAGCTAGCAACCCAGCAGCCGCCGGTCATAATTCTCATAGTAGTGTAGCCCATAGTAATTCGTTGAGCAGCACCAGTCGTCATCACCATGCTACCGGGAAGACGGCGACGGCGATCGGTGCTGACGGCATTGGTATTGCGGCGGTGGATTACGTGGCACGTTCGAGTGCCGTGACTGACGGTGGTAGTGCAGGTAGTTACAGTGGTAGTTCGAACGGGATAGATAGGAGAGATAGGAACGACAGGGGACGAGGCGGCGACAGGGATCGGGATACGAAGAAACGAAGCGGTGGCGGCAGTAGCAATTCTTACAACGACCTGGCTAATTCCGATTACACCGGCAACGAGGACAGCACCGTTACCACGTCTACATGCAACCTCGAACTGCCGGAGAGTCCTAAATCATCGGAGTACCCGGACTACCTCACGTGAGTGTCCCGCTGATCACGGGGATTGTAATTCGTAAGCAAAGGTTGACACATTATCCATTGATTTTGAATCGTAATTTGGGAGAGGGTGAGGTAAACAGTTTTTTAACCGTTTGCACTTGAAGTAATTTCAGTAAAAAAAAACATATTCGTGTATAAATAGATGATATATTTAATGACGAAATTTTACAGTATATAGTGACAAATTTTCGTAAGAACTATGATGGTTTTTTTAATAATTCTCTGATGCGTCATTGTATAAATTTATTTGTTTTTAACATTACTGCGCTTCAGGAAAATGATTGTTGTTCTGTTAGTTGAATAATCTAGTTCTGTTAACACAAACAGCAATGTGTCTTCTCTGAAACAATTTATATCTATAGGTGTATCGTTATATTTATTGTACTGATGTATTATGTTTTTATTTCTAGATACTACACGACAATAAGCAGCGCGGGACAAAGAAGACGTTATAAGGCGGAATTCAATGCGGATTACGAGGAATATAGAAGGTTGCACACTCAAGTAGCTAAGGTTTCGAAACGGTTCACTTTCCTCCAGGAACAGTTGAAGCAAGAAGAGAAAAACGGAAACTGGAGCGAATATCACGTGAGTGTTCGGTTTTTTTATAAACAATTTTCTAGACGCTTTTATAATCATAAAGAAGATAAAATCTGAAAAGAAACTCGCTTTTTTAATTAGTCATTTTTACAAATTTATTTTGAATAACATTTTTAAGGAAGACGTTTTACGGATAATACATCCATGTAGACTGTTTGTTATTAGAGATCGATATTTTTTATGAGCATAATTGTAATCCTTAAAACGAAATAATAAATTATACATTCAAGAGACGTTACCATATTCCTATATTCTTACAGGAAATAAGGCGGCAAATTGTCGATGAGTATAACGAAACAAAACGGGACCCTGTACATAAGGAAACGAAACGTCGGTTCCACTATCTGCACGAGAAGCTGAGCCACATCAAGCGATTGGTCCTCGAGTATGATACGACGAACTGTGGCGGTAGCATGTCCACCACCAGCGCCGATGGTAGCAACGAAATGAAGGGGATGGACAGTTTGCACTACTGACATAAACTGAAATGGCCACCTCTGATCCTCTACCTTGTCTCGGTTGTCGATACGCTGTTGTCTCCGTTGTCGCAGAATTTGCATTTTCTCGGCATGTTCCAAGGCTGATCTTAATGGTCCACATGGTTCCTGGGTTCTGTCGCCGAAAGAGAAAAATAAAAAAACGATAACTAAACCAGTCGAGTACTCTGATCGGGAGTTGCATGATGTTTACAACGCATCGCAAGAAAGAAAAAGAAGAGATGAAGAAATAGAAGAAAGAGAAGACGAAGTAAAAGAGGAAGAAGAATAATAAGAAGAAAAAGAGGAAGAGTAGGAAGAAGGAAATCCTTCATGGTGTGAACCCATCGTGCGGAGGTCGAAGATTTCTTTGTAATTGTGATTAGCACGACTGTGATCTCTTCGACCTGCGCCCATGTGTTACACATCAGACGAGTCGAGCTACGCTCGCCACGTTTGGCCAATAGTTAACCACTGACGAAGGCTTTACGACAATCGGTACGTCTGCAAAACAATGAAAAAAGAGAAACAAAACGAACGGAAACGAATAAAAGCGAGAAGGGGAAAACGAGAAAGTCCATCCGATTAAACAGAGAAAGAAAAAGCATGAGGTTAAAAGGGCATTCGCGGAGAGTCCAGGGGTAGTAAAAAAGAAAAAGAAACCGCGCGAGCCGAAAGTACGCACGGAGGCGTGGGTGTGTGTTTTCTTTTGCGTGGCTGTCCTCCGACGAATAGGATAGGGAATAATAAAAACTTAGGGGGAAAAGCAAAGAAGGAAGGCAAACAGGAGGAGAGCAAAGTAATTAAACTCTACGATAAGTTACTTACCGTGCGCACGTCCAAGTGTGTCGTCCAGTTTAAGAGTACCGTAGAATTAAAGGAAAGCAAACGAAACAAAAATTACAAAAAAAAGAGATAAATAAATAAATAAACAAAGTTGAAACAAAGCAAACAAAATACGAATGCGAGAAGAGGGTCCAAAATGGTAGTAAGGGCTTATCACGTGCCACGTCCGGAGGATACTAAGTAACTACTTTTTTCCGCCGGAAGGAAAAAAGGGAGATTAGCACACAGAGACAGACTGTCCACGAGCCGGAGCGCGGATCGCGCGTGGATCCGCGCCTGCTGCTCGCCATTCTCTTCTTTCCTTTTCTATTTTTCTCTTCTGTCCACCCCCATTTTTTTTTTCTTTATTTCTTCTCGCTTCGTTCTCGCCTTTGTTTCACCCCCCACGTTGTCTCCGTCAATTAAAGAAGACCGGAACGGACAATTATGGACAACTTTCTATAAGAGAGAGAGACCCATCACTTTTTCGCGCGAATGAAACGCGAGATCCTTTTGTTACTTCTTCGTTCTTTGGTTTCTTCGCCGAGGACCGCGCGCGCGTTTGCCATGTTCTCGCGGGCCTCGGAGCTACTTCGACACGGTAGACATATATGCGAATGACACAACTCGAGGAATCAATAACGCGCGATTGACCATCGGGCAAACGAGAAGGACGAACATGTTAAGTACTCTATTTAGAATTACCTGCCATAAAGTGATAATGACCGAGCTAAATCAACTGATCGCGACACCGGCTCAGCCGTCTTCGCAGTTGAAAGAGACTGGGTCGATCGTCGAATAGACGAGGATTCGTCGCGGTCGCTCGTAGTGATTCCGGTTGTGTATATCGTGTGCTAGGGTAGACCCATTTTTTACTATTTCGAACGCAGTAGTCATTGAAAGGGAGAATGCTCAGCGCCATCGTCATCGATTTTACACGCGGCAACGTGAAAATGTTAAAAAAAAAGAAAGAATAAAGAAATGAAAGGAACGACGAGGAGGAAGAAAATGTTGGGAAATCGTGACATTAAGACAGGTTTCATTAGTAAATAATAATCGTCATCGGCGATAAACATAGTTATACATTGTACAGGTGCGCCCTTTTCTTCGCGTGCAAGTAATACCTTCTTCGTGTAATTATTATTATGGCGATGAATACTATTAATATTATTATCAACGCTATTGCTATTATATTATTGTTCGGATAGGTAGGTAGGATAGGTACACGCGAGAGCTGCGTTAGGACCTAGAATTCGCATGGAATATGAAGGAAGAGAAACGATGTTAGGTATATACAGAGTGGTTCGTAATTACGTGTCGGTATAACTGGGAGGAAAGGTGTGAAAAATAAAATGAAAAGAATGATATACGCAAATTTTAGTTTTTACATTCTTTTTCATATTAATCGATTAAGAACATTGTTTAATTTAGGTTTTAATTTTTCAACAATTTTCCTTAATGAACTAATTCTCTTTTAGTAAACACAATTAAGGTATCAGTGTCGTGTGAACTACATAGATTAGAAATTTAATTAATTCCATCGAATTTTACACGAAATTGATACCCTGTGTATTTTGAATAGCATATTACGCAGAAAAGTCTGCACACCTACGAAACATAGCAATTATATATTCTTTTAGCATTTCTTTCACCTGTTTCACGTTCTAGCTTTATTCTCTACTGCGCCGATGCCTGATTAAGAATCACCCTGTAGAGCCAATGTTTTCCATTGAATGTGTAACGAAAGTTTATGACGTTGATGTTTCTGATGCCTTTTGAATCTTTTTGCTGTACATTAATTTGACTATCGTTTTTATATATACGAACGTAGACGGACTTTCGAACCGGTACCTTTGTAATGTTGATTTCATTATCGCGTGTTCTTCTTTGTTTCCGGTTTCTTAGTCGACATTGCCTTCTAGATTCGTATACGATACGCGCAAGTGTCTTTCTTCGTTGCGTGCCCATTTTGTTTCACATTCAATAAGCATCTGCACTTGATCCGGGCAAAGTATTGTGATAGGTTGGCTGTCTAGAAACGGCGAAAGGAAGAATACGGTTCACGTTGGTCCGACGTACAGGGTGTCTCGTAAAATCCTTCTATTCACGAGTATATATTTAGCGCCCAATAATGACTAAATAAAATTCGTATGAGCATGTTTCAGTTACTCTTTTAACACGTTCGCGACCAGCATCATCGCATTTCTGACGTTCAACATTTTGCATATTGCGCAAAGAAAATTAAATAACTTTCACATGTGTCTGTATCTAAAATTGTAACGCATGGTATAAGGTGTAGGAAGTTGACGAAATTTCTTTTTTAAAGTTCATTTGCATTTTATAAAGACGATTCACTGGCTTTAGTAAAATATTATAAATATGAATATTGCCACTGAAGCAAACGCTGGTCGCAAACGTATTAAGCGATTAACACTAACTAACAGAGATTAGTTTGCCAATTAATTCGGGAAACAAAGAGAATGAGGAACCAAAATAACACGGAGCTTTTCTTTTACTTTCATTGACTCGTCGACAATTATCTAATTTTGTCGAAATTTGTAATGCAGTTTATAATACGTTACTTATTCTTATTTGTGTTCTTTATGCCGTATTCTTATTTATGTTCTTTATTTAAACCGAACTTTTGTTCGAACTTCGCGAAACATCCTGTACGTCACACGTGTCGTCATTCACAGAGAAGCAAACGACGTACGGGCGTAAGAGGAAAAAAAACGGTTCGGCATGTTCGCGAATGTTTTCGGTGAAACGATTCGTTTCTTGGGCACGTTCCCATCTTAATCAACTAACAACTAATTATCCAATCACGTAATCCACGTTACCGTGCATCCGTAGTTCTAATCGATAAGATTTGTACACTTTTACGATACGCATTCGAGCCTTTCCTTCTGCGATACTGAATGAAAATGGTAATTATTCGTTGCAATTCTCTCCAGTGAGTACGAGAAAAAAAAGAAGAGAAAACGAAAGTCGATATTCGACGAAGCGTTCCTTCAATTTAGATTAGCGAATCTTATTCAAGCATGTAAAATGTTTCATTTCTGTTTTATCCGATTTGTATAATTCTCGGTTGGAATTCGTAGAATATTCGATTCGATTTAGCGTCCAACGATAACCAATTTTACGCCCCGCAAATCGCCAATCGATGGTAACATGACGATTGAGAGTTGGTTGTACGGAGGTGTCCTTGTTATGTTTTTTGCTGAAATTTTATCGTGCATCGTTACGTTGCGCCTTTAGTTCCCCTCTTTTATCCGAGCCACCCTCGCGTTATTTATAAACCAAAAAAAAAAG